TGGTCTCCCTGAAAACAAGACCAAGTTGCGACAACGAGGTCAACCCACTTCTATCAAAGGTAATATTCTTAACTTTAGGAAGAGAAATAACAAGGAGACCAGAGAGGAACAATCGGAAACAAAGAGAAGATGTCTATAGTGAGTCTATTCAAATCTAGAAGAACCATCACATTTGGGGATCAGCATGCAATAGAAAGTCATAGGCTTGACATTAGGGATAGAAGAGCGAAAGAAAGGATGATGGCCATTTTTAGTTGGCTTTTAGTAGACAAGTTTGCTCATAAACGTGGTCCATGAAGTAAAGGCTTGACCACGAGATTTACCCGGTACACATGCCGCACAGCGATAAGGGAATCTGTAGCGTCAGGTTAGATTGCCATGCCAATTAAGAATCTAGACTTTAGAGCCTTGCTCAGTGAGGCTGGTGTTTACGTGCTGTCAAAGGTTTGAGGCAGAGTGTAGAACATAACGCCTTGAGTAACATGGATGTGGTGGCAGTGATGAAGTGAAATCACTGAAACAGAAATAAAAGTGGAGGATTCTACAGAGCTAAAGTGGGACTCTGATAGGACCCGGAAGGAGGGGATTGCGGATTAAACCTTAGCCTTGGATCAAAACTCACGACAGTGGGAGGGATTAGGTAACCAGCGGGGAGTGTGAATAGGATTCAAATTGGTTTAGATAAACAAGTGTAAAATTGTGATATTGTAGGAATGATACACGAATATAGAATAAGTGAATAGCCAAGGACAGAAAAAGAGATACAACAATTGTTTAGCACACAATTGGTCAAAGGATCGACTTTGACAAGTCGTAATGTGGTGCTAAGAATGGCAAGACCCAATGACGATGCCAACAAAGCATCTGGGAATGCACCACCTCCACGGTAAAATTCTGAAAAGTATCATGCATACTATGAATTCCGGACAAAGTGCGTTCCTGAGGGTCTTCCTGCCAATAAAACCAAGTTACGAAAACAAGGTCAAATAACTTCCATTATATATTTATATAAAAACACTAAGAAGTTTGCGAACTGTCAGATCGAAGTTGCATCTTCAAAAAACCCAAAGTACAGAAATCTAAAAACCATTTCATTTTACTCCTAGTGATGTTTTAGCCACGCTTTCTTGAATGTTGACAGTCCTGACTAAAGAAGTAACCCATCACATCCTAACTTGAGCCATGAGAATACATCAGTTGAATCGTAATTATATTGGACAAACCAAAACCCATTCGAGCACCTTACGATATCCAGAGCTAAGTGCAGCTTCTCCAAGCGATCAAGCTAACCTTACCGAGGGACCATAAATGCTTCGTTCCATGGCAGAGATAAAGAGTGAAGAAAAAAGATGAAATGAGATGTGAAGTTAAGGACATCAAGGTGAGAGGAATGCTAAATAAAATATATAGATTACGGAAAGTAACTTAGTCCGGGTTAGTCGCTAGATCAAATAAGCCCTCCCTTTGAGTGTTCTAGCATCACTAGTATCTCTCTAAATAGATAAGGTATTGGACAAATGTGAGTGCAAATGTCTATCGAAAGAGCTCTTTGGGTTTAGGATAGATTAGCCATTTAATCAGGACTTAAAATGGTAATCTCATCGAAGCGTCTTAATTGGTGAAATTATGTATGATAGGAAGCCTATAAATAGAAGTATACGATACATTGGTTTACAAAAATCAGTACATCCAATCTAAGCCG